AGATAGTATTAATTTGCATTTAGGATAGCAATAGCCTACTTTGTAAAGATACTTGATGTACTGACTAAAACAAATGTGTAATAAACGTCACGCATCTAATGCCCTTAGCCAATTTAAAAAAATAAAATAAAATAAAATAAAATAAAATAAAATAAAATAATTTATTCAAAAGCAAATGTCCCATACTGTATGTGAAATTACAATTATTATTATAAAAAGTATAGATAGTATAATGTATAATAGCTGATATTTCATATATTTAATTCTTGATAGATTACAACTTCTCTTATTTTAATGTCAACATTTTGCTTGAGGAATTTTAAACTGTGATGGTGATGGTGACGGTGATACCATACATTATCTTTTACCATTCTACTATACACATATCAATTTAATTCTTATAAGTTCAAGTAATCTAACAACATTTATATTTATTTCATATCAAGCTATATAATAGTCTAATACAACTTCATGGTCAACTTTCATTAGCTTCATCGATTTTCATCCGGTAAACATTATATTCATTATTCTTTTCAATTTCTTCATTTTCCTCACCAATGATAGCTATGGAATAATCTTTCTTTGTTTCGTGTTGCTTTAGATACGTGATTGCAGCATATTTAACATCGTCCTCGGTCACAGCCAACAATTGCTCACGTCGTCTAATGGAAATTCATGAATTAGAAAATGATAATGGAACCAAGAAAAATAAGCGAGAATATGTACTTTTGCCTTAGGTCGTCGGAAATTCGATCAGTGAAATAAACCATCCCTTCCTGGGAGACGCTTATTGGCGCGTCGATGCCTTGGAATATTGATAGCTTTGCCTCATCAATTTCCTAATCGTCCGGTGTTTTACAGTACGCGAAAGTTCAGTCACAGAATTCAACAACAATGAATGAAATAACATCTCGAAGTCAATTTACCTGTTGAGTAAATTTTCGCTTCAAGACCCAATCGATCGATTGACGATAGGTTTCCAAAGTTTCCAAAGCCTTTGGATCTCGATAAGAAAAGAACGAGAAAATTCCACTCGTCGATGAGTAAGTTGCACCGCCACCATATGCCCCGTTTTTTTCACGGATCTCACGATGTAAATAATGGGTTCTCATTAAGGATGACAGAATCTGAATTATTAGATAACGAGATAATATTAAATATTAAGGTTTGTGTGTGATCCTTGAATATTGCCGTCATTGCAGAGATCTATGATGGTGACGAACCTATACAAAATTAAGGAATAGATGTACCTGTAATTTGGCGCCGTCAGGATGTGTATAAGGCACTCCCTTGAAGCATTCCGCGCTAAAATTTACGGAGAACGGGAGTGGGAAAAATGCTTTCTCATTTTTTATCTGGAATTCAGACTGTTGCAAAATAACATCATGTTTTTTAATCGACATTAGTCTTTTAATACATAGTTTAATTTTAAGGAAAAAATAGAATAAATGATATTAAAACAAAGATGGCTTCAGACGACAACGATAAGCTATTCTGATCAGCATATATACACATATGCCAACACGTAAATACGTCCCATACCTGTTCCAAGGGGCGACTTTCGCGTTCCGGTAATTCTTTCAAAAGTTTGCTTAGTGCATCTTCATTTGATTCAACGGTTTCGTGATCACACGTTATTGCGGCTCTTACGGATGATTTGCTTAAAACATATGGTGATATTTCCTGCATTCAACGGACAATTAGAAAGGCAGTTTTGAGTTGCGTCAAATTAAGGATGAAAACTACTTTACCTTCAATTTGTTGGCAATACTTTGAAAATCGTTGGTTAGCGCGAGCGTATTCATAAAGTGTACTTGGGTCATGCCCTTGTATATTTCATGAATTTTCTACACGTGTATAAAGCAAAAAAGTGGAAATACGTCAGTCTTATGAGGAAAACGACAGCTTATGTTTAGTACACATACCATTGCAGGCACAATTCGCGAAGCGGCAAAGGACCTTGCGTAGTTGTGACCAAGCTC